GCCCCGAGTTGGGTGGGTACCAGGCAGAGCATATCGGGTAGAATGCCCCAAGCGGGTGGATGCGGGAGACTCCGGATGTTGGGTCTCCTGGGGGATGGGATCTAATTAGAGATCACTCATTGATGAAACCTTTCACTTGTGCCACAATGAGAAACGAATTCTGATTTGGTCGTGAAAGAAGACTGACGCATATTACTGCCGCGCGATGCGGAATACACAACGTAATGCAATAGCCTAAATGAAGGGCGAGGGGAAACGTCGAAGACCTCACTGGGCACCAAGTCTATAGACCTCGCTCCTGCTGATTTGACTGCATTAACATGGCCTTCAACTGAACATCATATTCCCCCTCGGCCGTTATATCAGATCGAGGTTTTTTGTGATGTAAATCAAATTTTCCAGGAATCACAATTTACAAAAAATAAAATGATCATTTGTGAAATGTCACGACCTATGAGAAGGTTGTCACTCCAGCGCACCAAGATTACATTGCTCACATTCCACACATGTTAACGCACCTTCAAGATAAACGCATATAAAATATTGATTTGAAGATGTCAACCAAAAATATTCGCCTTTGACGACAGAATGGCGAGCCGGCAATCGACCTTTGCGATCAATTAGGCCAGCGAGCCCCCGGAAGTGTAGCCCGCTCGAAAACCCGTGTACATGTGGTCTTCTATCTTCCAGATAATACACTCTTCTCCCATAAGTATCCGCAACATATAAAAGCCCCCTTCAGTGAATTTCGTTACTTTGAATTTTAAAAAACATATTAGAGAAAAAAATAGCACAGCGTGGTTTATATTTTCTTTCACATCCGACCTTCTGCAGATTCCTGGTCAACACACATTCATTTCGATGTGTTTTTGTCATGTATAAACATGTACATTTTAAATCCTGTGGTATATCGTTTATTTTGCTTAAATGAAGATGTCGGTTGTCATTTTACAATAGAAATATAACCGTATTTTTAAAATTATGTACTATTGTGTCAAACTACAACTGACAATAATAAGTTTAAACGATCTTTCACCTACCACATTCTGTTACGAACTCTTGTTTGTGAAATTCTTTTTTAACAACGGTGTGATATTTTCGAAGTCATCAAACAGGGGCGACAATGACAACAACTCTCCCCCCTTCGCCGGAACTGTAACGTGATCTGTTGGGACGACCACAACACAAAACACAGTAATGGGACACCTCCAAATGTTTCTTGACTATAATTATTTTAATCCTGTTTCTTACATGGGCGCCCTTCTGGAAGTTTTCCCCGAGGGTGAAGGTCGAAATGAAAGAGCAGTTAAAATTACCGGCTTCCTAAGACTGTGGACATATTGTAGTGCATGCCCAAAGGGTCTGCACGGACGCTCTCCCTCATTCCTCCCTGCGCAGATTTTAAACTATTTGAGATAGACCCCAGCCCTTACCGTACCCCGAGGGTGCTTGAGTTCCCTGTAAGAGGGAAGTGATCGACGGGGGTCGGGTATTGTGTCGCCGGGCCCAGATACACCATTTCACTGCTATTGAACATTAACAGGATCTGTTGTAACGATAGACAATGCACGGTGGTGTTCATTTAGATTCTGTCATGAACATCATTCCCTTATCATGAATGTTTAATGAAATAAATAAATGATTGCTATACTGCTCCAATACTTTTGGTAATTGTTTGTTTTCAAAACCACTGTTTTGTTATCTGCGAAGTTTTATAGATCATAGTTACTAAACTTGCTAAGTTGATCGCAATTATCGAAAATCCTATAGATTTAATCACAAACGTTCATGGTCCTTAATAGTTATTCATCTCGGGTTACAATTGTTTGATTTTAAATCCGGGATCGTTTCTAAAATTCTGACAGGTTCATAACGACAATGATATGTCACATGCTCCCAATCATCTATAATTCAATTCAAAGCAAGAAGTATAACTAAGAGCTACAACGATATGATACGTTAATAGTAAACCATTGTAAACGCCACGACTCGATCGCTGGTCCTACCACGAGTTAGCTCCCCTGCCCTGCGAGGCCGGTATTGAGGTACCTGGCGTGTTCTATACCCAGGAAACAGTAGAAACGATAAGTCCAGGCCTGTGTGACGACTGTCAAACCAGCCTGTCACATCCACTAATATATTATGATTGCAGGCCCCCATTCCAGCGATTCGCATCGTAGAGACTGTATCACGTGTTTGATTTATGACGAAAAGCTTGAGGTCGGAGAGAACAGGCGACCGCTAAATTGATAACACAGTACTCTTATACAAGCCCTGTGCGATCACGGGCCTCTGATAAAATGGCCATTTTAAGCTTGACACCTACATAATGAGGCTGCAATAATAAACCTAAATAAATACATTCAGGCTGGACATAAATGTATTAATCTACGTTAACATACGGACAAGTTTGTTATGGAAGATTCCTAACCGGGTACCAACGGTTCTGCTAAATCCATCATTAGGTTACTACAGCAACGACGGTTTTCAAATCAAGGAATAAATGACTATATCTCCTGGGCCGCGTGGCTGGCATGGTCGACTGAACGCCACATAAACTACGGCGACCGTGACGGCTAGGTATGTGATCACCTTGGAAGACACATCGACGGCCCGGGAGAGAGGACACACACCCTATTCTTACCGTAAACCTGACACTATGGCAAAGATACCCCCCGGGGAATAATCGCGGGGTTGACGCGAGGAGAATAGATCCAAACAATTTCTTAGATTGATGGGATTTGTCTTGTATTTGCGACTTTCTCGTGTTTGCCTCTTCATATGTAAAAATCACGTTAACTAAAATGAACCTCGCTGAAGGCCAAAACCAGAAAAAACACGTTTCTCATTTTAAACCGAGCCGGTAAATGTTTTTTTCACTTTTCTGAATTTCCCGCATTTTAGATTTTAGTCTTCAGTCTGACTTATCTTTCCTAAACCGCCATGTTGTATGCTTTCCTTGTTGGAATGAAAGACTTGCCCATTTTAGTATCTCTGGCTGTCTTCTTATATTCGCTGTTTGAAAACCTGACCATTTACACGAAAATATGGTTTAAAAAAGCAAAAGAAAAAAGAGGCCTTGTTCAACTTGATATTTAAAAAATCAAGTATTTATTTATAGCCTCATCCCGACCCCACTATTCTGAACACGCCTTTCCGGACAAGTACTGTTAGAAACGGCGACATTCATATAAAGGGACATTACTCTGCATCTATGATTCGTTAAACAGGCTTACTGCTACCACTTTAGCTTCTGCTTCGTTATTCCTGAAGTGTGTTATATTTCGATATCACTTGCAACGGGGCGTCCGGATTAGGGGGGGTCGGGTTTAACTGACAACAAGTGTTGTGTAATTCACTATCAGAAGAAATCACATACATTTACAATCAATATACAAAAAAAATACCATTTACCTAAATTGTCGTGTTATACCTAGTCTAGTCATGGTCCACTTATGTCATTTCGACGTTTAATGAGTAACTTAATATAATGTTGTCAGGGAATTGGTAGTTAGGAAAAGGAAATTCCTATGTCAGATCTCTGATTAGAATTTGCGATAAATAGAACTCACTGGGCCATATCATCCCGACTTTCAGTTCAGCGCCATCATTCAGGTTCACCGGTTAACTTGTAAAGAACACTTTTATAATACTATTGAAATATTGTCTTTGAAGTTTAGAATCTGTTTATTGTGTCTAAAATGAGAATGCTTGGAATGAGATGCCTGTGTTCAATATCTGTGCAACATAATGGACCTGTCGTATGTTTTATACATATAATTATAAGCAAACATCGGGAGAGAAATAAACAATATCGACTGCTGAAGTTGTTTCAGATAAATATATGAAACTACTTCTTGAATGTTTGGTGCAGATTGTGTCATAAGTAAAACAACGTTTCTTTCATCATAGTTCGTGTAAGGGTATATCAAAGGAAGAGAATTTTCCTAAAATAAACACAAAAACATAATGTGTAGATTTAGACAAATGGTGACGCCACGTGGTGTTATCAGAATACACGTACAAGCTCTCATAACGTATAACTCTTTAGCTCATTATATACAACATTCCCATTGGCCGAAACCGGCAGCTGGTGTCTTCTCCCAGGTCCGCGCGATAGGAAGCGAGGACATCCCTCTCAGAAATGATAACACACCAAACAAAAATACACAATCACGAATAGTGCATATTTCCAAATGGCTATCTGACCGAGTGATCAGAAATGAATAGTAGATGAGACTAGCTGGTGAATCGGCCTACGATCTGCGTGAGGATCAACCAGATCAGAATGAGAGCAGTCTCCACCATTCCCCCCCCCACCCCCCGCCCCTTCCCAACCCCTCCTCTTCCCGAGCAGCACTCACCACGGGAGGATCTGCGCGTGCGACAGGTGCACGTGACGGGCACGTTCAACACACATGACATTTTAAAACATACATTTCGTTGATTTAGTGGATATTAATTGAATCGCGATTATTAACTAGATCATTTGGTTGTTATCGACCCAAAAGTACAAAATGAACATTTGTGTTCATAGGGAAAAAATACATTAATTCAAATTAATCAATATGTAATACAGGATGGTCTTTCATGGAGTATTTTTTCAACTTCTTTTTTCATTAGTGAACGTACACTAGGGGAACGTGTCTAATCTCCAAGGGTAAGAATATTTCATCTGATATACAGTCAGTATCGATGTTAACTGTCATTGGACTTCGCGTCAACGTGGAAGAATGATAAACGAAATGGACAAAAAATTCAATAATAGAAGAAACCAGATACTATAGGGTCTATTTTCAAAGCGAACGTATAGGTTACTATTAGTTAACGAGCATTATATGGGAAGGAGTGGCGCTCACATAGGGAGAGTCTCACTACTAAAGAAACTTAATAACCAAGTGCGGGTAAAATCAAGGAGAAAAAAATCATTAATAATAATTTCTACTTGAACATGAACCCTAGGAACTGGTTGAAGAAGCTATGCAGGTTTGTTGTCTTACCGTCAGTGTGGGTGGGTCCCCAAAACTGTGGCATTTCAGGCATCAATGACTTGAGGCCTTCGGGGGCGTGGCCCGTACCGCTCAGGTAACCGCCCATCAACGCAAAACTTGCTCCTAAAATGAAAAAAGAAATATGTGAAAGCAAGCTATCGAGTTGGGGCCACGTGCGTATAGAGGTCCCACGTGTCTGTTTACATTCACCAATACTCGGGTCTCACCTTTGACCCCGATTGTTATGTCGCGTACGTTTCTTTCACTCAAAAGAGTTGCAAAAACTGTTGGCATTTTGCCCTTTATAAGATTATAACTTACAATCGAGTTGTTGAGACGCGAGTTGCGAGTTTCAGCTCACGGAGACGACGGGTTGGTCGTGTACGACACTAGCTAACAGATAGGGCTCAGGAAATAAAATTGCTGTGTTAATTGTTGCGGATAAAAACTGCATGACACAAGCAAATTAATAGGACATCCGCATCCGAGATTTATAACCCGGCATATCGACTTTTGGGAGACCCATCGCACAACGAAGCTGGCAGTCTAAAAACTCGCCAGAAGATAACTGTTGGAACCAGCTCATGATTGCAAGCAAGACAACGTGTGAATCATGTGATATTAACGAAGACGACACTTGAAATCTCCAAGAATTATTGCTTAATGTTATTTGGCTTTGAATAATGTTACAGCATCGTGGAGATTTACGGCAATATTGGACGAAGGGTGGCAATATAGTGCGCCAGTTTAAGAGCTGTAGCTATGCATTAGGGTGGACAATCGTTCTATGTTGTACTAAGCACTGGTTTCCAGTACATGGTAGATATGACGACATCAGGGCCACCTGCTGTACACTGCAATACACGTTGCACCTAACACACGTATGATAACTGTAGTTATGCAGTACGGGGCGACGATCGCGGACCAGATAACACGCCGTAAGAACCATTATGCACAACTGTGCATTAGGAATACCATAAAAGACCAATCACTCATTTTTTATTATCATGGAAAGAGACAATTTACACGTTTTGCAAATTTCTGACAAAGTTTTCTTCCATAAACTTCCAAACACTTTACGCTTGCTCACTGTAGTGAGAGAGAAAATACATTTATACGAAATGCTGTCAATGGTGAAGTTTATATCCGACAGTCAATTTCAACGACCGTCAACCTAGAGAGATTTATGGAATTTTTTTTCACTATCAGACATATATGGATTTTTTCACACAAATAAATACCTCAAAATTATTTCCCCCACAACATCGGTTATAGCAAAAAGATTTAGCAATAAATTAAAAAATACACTAATTTCACGAAAAGACATTCATTGGTAATTTTGCATAATGATTTGAGGAAAAGCTTGATTATTTTCAGAAACGTTTGAAATAATTAAATTAAAGCGAAATGAAAATTCTTTCAAGAATTAAGTAAAAATCTTCAAAACAGATAACGTCTGTGGCGAATCCGGAAACTCAAGTGTGTTACAAGCTGTCAAGGATGATCGACAAAATAATTGATGATTTCTCCCTTCAAAAAGTAGTTTACAAATGAAAAATGTTAGAAGAATTTTTCAACGGGCTTTTACTAACGAGTTTCAATGACAGTTTTTTCTAAGTTCCGTCTTGATGTTTATACCGAATGTCCAAACTATATTTAAAAGAAATCTATAAATATGAATAACATATTGTATGTGGTGCAATATTAATTATGATTCAATAAATAACGGTTTTCATGTTTAATCGATATTAAATCACGTGAGAAAATTCATCCGATGCTTATAACAGAACATACACTATTTTTTGTACGTTTTATTTTCATACAGTCATATGTGTTCTGTGTTCACAATTAAGTTATATCCTCTTGAGTTATTTCTCTCTTAATAAAAAACGACAGTAAATTGACTTTTTTCATTATACTTTTTAAAACTTTATAAAATTGAGTGTTAATTTGCTTGTCATAAACAGTGTAACGAAGTTACAATATCAGATATTTTGGTTATTTAATTTGAACAAATAAAATAATTCCAGCAAGATTTGAATATCATCACATCAGGAAATTTCTATCACCGTTCAGAAAATACATTACAGTAGAACCAACCTCGTCACGTTGTGCTTTCCCCTTGCCCCTCTCTAGATAACATTTGACAGAATTACGTAATTGATTATCATTGTTATGTGCACTTTTCATCATAATTGCTACAGACTACGTGAACCCCCCAAAAAACAGAGATCCTATTGTATATGTGATCAACCGTGGAAATGTGTAATAACATATATTTCATACATGTCTTAAGCAGCAAAACTTAAACATGTGAAACCTTTCTTTCGTTGTACTCATTTTCTAAATATTATATTTTAGTTTGTCAAAAACATTCCTGCACCTGCAAACATATGACAAACGTGGGACGTGAGATACATTGACTGGAAAATACATTCATATTTTGAAACATTGACTGAATTTATATCCATATTGACATATTGACTGAACTTATATCCATATTGACACATTAAGGATTTTTTTATAGTGACACATTAACGTGAGATACATTCATATTGACACATTCACGTTGGTTATATTCCTACTTAAATGACATTCTGCATGTTTATGAAATACATCAATGTCACTTCATTCAAACTATTGTCAACCCGTAATCATAGGTAGTAAAATAGTTTTCAAAACATAAAGAAATATCTAATTTCAAATGAACGCTATTCTGAAAAGAAACTTGGATGAAATATGCATACTCTACGTATTTATTCTGCCGTCCTCTCTTTCAAGTGAATCTATTCTATCTGTCCCGACTACTGTGTGTAATTCGAAGATGCTATGTAAGGGTACACCCCCTTGTCTCCGCATCCCTATAAGCTTGTCGGAAACAGAAAACTCTTCCACGTCTTTCAATGTCCCCACTATTGCCTGGCCCGGAGCATGAAGGGACTGACAATGGCGGGAGCCCTTGCAAAAGTGCTATGAATGGCCTCACCTCCGCAGGCTTGTGGCTATGTCAATGTCCAACTACGACCGTCAAATTTACATAGTCGTGTAACCATAGGTAACGAAATTGCAAATTGTATATTTGGAAGCAAGCCGGCGTTGCCAAACGTTGTGCATACATGAACGTAGCGTGAAGTACTCTCCGCCGTCCAGATTCTCCATGCCTCTGTTTGTGCTGTTATTGGTATGACAGAACTAGATAACGTTGTTCTGTTCGGCGAAGTGGGGTCAAAATATGATGACATTCGAGAGAAAACATTCAATTTTGAGCTGAGACATATTAAGGCACACGCATGAAAACAGATTAACCATCAAATATGTGATACGATATATTATAGTAAATCAACGAAAGAGATATAATTATTAAATTTCGCACAATCAAACTGTCAATGATAAAGGAGCGCAATAAATAACACACACATATGTGATAACCCTTGGCAGTGCTTCAGTAACTGGAACATTTCTGTAAGCGTCTACTTCGAAGTAATTGTTGCCATGGAAATTTCATTGTTATCAAAGCTAAAAATAGTTTGTAGTTTCGTATAGTCTTCTGCCTGTGTATCATATTCAAGTACGGTATTGGAAGTTGAAATGGGTTTTTTTGGTCAATAAAAAACACTTCACATGTTGCTCTAGACTAATATGTATTCTGAGAAACCTTTTATTACACATACGTTTCTCTCCTCTAAAAGTTAGAAAAATGATTTTGCCTCATGCGGATTTCACATAAATCTTGATTGGCTTTGTTTTCTTGAAAAATTATATATATCCCACAGTCTCGGTGCATACCAGTGATGTTCCTACAGTGGCGGATGGTCTTGGGAATCCTTGCTCAATGCATTGCCAACAAAGATATATTCATTCAATCAATTTGCACCATAATCACTGACATTAACTCCAGCAATGTTTGATGACGTTTAGTTTGATCACAGTTTGTTTGATCACATGATTCTATACCAGGTGAGATGAGACGACGTATATAGGAAAAAAACGCTTTACATCGCAGGACAGTGAATCGTATTAACATGCAGTTATCCGTCAAATTTCAGCGATTTCTCTTTCAAAGTTTTAGAGCGGCTGCCAAGAAAATGTAACTTGAAAGTGGAAAATAAAATAATTCTGACCATTTGCCAAATGATCGATCATTGCTGTAAGAAGTGAGTTTACATAACTTTAGTTGCAGAAAACTGATATGACTGGTTACCACATGTGGAGTACATTCTCCCCACTCCTTGGAAATGTGTAACATCAAGTTTTTATACAACAGACAAATCTCACCTACAAAACGCCAATAATGGAAGGGAATTTTAACAGCACTGTATTAGTTCAGCCTACAGTTGAGTTTTGCACGATTTTTTCAAAACGCAATTAATTACTTTCGTGTTTGTGGCACTTGACTCCGAGATCAATATGTCTTTCTCAATTAGTTCCATGTTCTAGCGGCAGACAAGTGAAAACCAGGAAAGATGTCGTCTGCCCATCTTTTCCAGTCACAATTGGCGGGAAAGCACGCCCGCTAAAAGCACGTTCCACTGTTTACCTTTACTGGGAACGTATGAAGGACATATTCAGTTGTAGTTTACCGTTATCCGCTGGGTCACGGGAAGGGTGCCTCCCCTCCCCCCGTCAGGGAGATGGGGGTTGGTCATTTGTGGCCATTTGTACTCCGCCATCTGTACAGAGCTACACGGAATTGACCATCGGATGCTGCGGGTCCGTCGCAAAGCTTCTCTCGTGACGTCAGTCCAAACGTGAACGTGTGGTAACCGGCAGTTGGGATGAAATACTGTTTAACTAATGATATGTTTGACACGCACTAACTTTTTCTTGCTTCGATCGTAATCGAATTGAAACTGTTTTTCTAATCTTACAGCGTTTTGACCAAATGTAAATTTAACCGTGTTAAAAAAAAGTGATTGATGCATTTTACCCCCACTTCTACAAATGCCGAGAAGTTTCGACCGACCAGCAATGAAAAATGATCCCATCTATTTCCGATTCTGTAAATATTAGCAGGAAATCGCAAACGTGGATTTTATCCTCCAGTTTCTAGTTCAGTAAATGAGGAAAGAATTTCGATTCAAAACGGTTTTTTTCCTCCAGCTATCCTCGGCAATAGAAACCCC